TCTGTAAGATAAGGCTCAGCTGGCGTAGTTTCCATGACAATGTGGAGCGGAGAAGCACTTCCAGTATGCAGATGTAAAGTAGGAGAAGTACTTCCAGAAGCACTTCCGGTGTGAGATGTAAAATCTGCGGTATGAGAGAGGTAAGATGAACTTGGGTCCGATTTTAACGGAATATATGCTTTGTGTTAGCAGCTTAGAATGTTCTCTCTGCCAATGTACCAGCTACCACCATATTCTGCAGGAGCGTCTTTGGCAAATGAACTTACGGCACTAATGGTGTGGAGGTTTGGCAAACAAAAGAGTCGTAACCGTTCTCCCTGGAAAACCACGAGAACCAGGAACCGGGCTATATGTTATGAGGGTCTGTGGTTGTGTCAAAAGTGATTGGAACCAGGGCCTGGCATTAGGAGGCAAAGGAGCTAAATAATGTGAGTCAGCTCTGGCTCATCCATAGGTACTTGTAACGTAGATTACCAAGAGGCAAGCGAGTTGCTTGGTTGCTTAAAGTGACCATATATATAACACCAGAAAACCATCCCAATATCACAGATTACCAACAAAGCTCAGCAACATTTTTCTACACATGCCCAGCCCACCTGTAGACCAAAGTTAGTCCCACATTGAGAGTGCTTTTTCATGCACATAATGCATATTTATCTGCCTAAGCCTTGTGATCGGGCTTATGGAAAAGCTGTATTGTTGTAACAGAGTCAGGGCAGGCTGTTTATTTGGGCTTGTCTGTGATGTGCTGATCTGCATTTTAGAGCAAAGTATTTGGGTTGTGCAGGGTGACCTTTTTATGCAATTTTTTCCAAGGACCCAGGACTGTCAGAGTACTCCATATTCTGACCTCGGGGGTCTAGTGTTGGCAAAATAACTAGTGTCAATTGTGAGACATGGCTTTTAGTATTCATTGCATGTTGGGATTTGTGTTGCTTGTCAAAGAAATTATGGGAACCTGGGGCTGGTATTGGCAGAAAAACAAAGAAAACCAGAAGCAGAAGCTAGTGCATACAAAATAACTAATGGGAACCAAGATGCAGGGTCTTGTGTTGTTGAAAGAAACAGTGCAAACAAAGATCCAGCATCTTGTTTTTCTGAAAGATCCAGTGGGAACCAAGATCCAAGATCTTGTTTTGTCGAAAAAACAGTGGCAACCAGGATCCAGAGTCTTGTCTTGTTGAAAGTACCAGTGAGAACCAGGGTCTAGCGTCTTGTTTTGTCAAAAGAGCTAGTGAGAACTAGGGTCCAGCATCTTGTTTTGTCGAAAGAACCAGTGGGAACCAGGACCCAATATTAGGAACCAGGCACATATCTGCCACCAGTGCAGTCCTTCCATGCGCTTATGAGCAGATTAGCAAGTGCGTGGGAACAGCGAAAGGGGGATATAGTGAGCTCCTCTCCTCGGCTCATGTTTGCCTACCGGACAAGGCTCAGATGAAATGGGAACTCAGGCTTCGACCTATGAAGCCGGAACAATGGACAAAAATATACAAAGCTCTGTACGACACAACAGATGACTTCAAACTAAGGTGGCTGCAATTTATAATCATCCACAGAATCCTACCGACGCACTGCATGTTACACCTCTATCAGATCAAAGATACGAATCAGTGTCCGCGCTGCCAGAGCCATAACGAGGATATACCACATATATTCTGATTCTGCCCTGGGTCGCTAACTTTTTCGACTGACTTGAGCACACGATCGCGACTCCACAGACAATTCGCTATATATAACGCTATCACTAGTCTCTAGAATCCTGTCGATCCGGTCGGAACACTTACTGAGTCTGCTATTCGACTGTGCTTGCTACTGGGCAAGCAGTACATATGACAGTATGGCAATGTATCGTGTAAGCCATATAGCCGAGGTTTCTTTGGGTTTACTCAAAGGTATTCCGATGTAGAGAGGCATGTGATTGTGGGCACCAACACAATCCACACTTATGATCAGACGAAGTCTGTGATCTTGGAGAGACTGGCTGTGCTCTCACCTGGTTGAGCAGCACGTTAGATGAGGGGCCCATATATCGCGTAGATGAGACAGTTGGCGATAAACTACCGTTGGTGCCGGGCACATTGCCATTGGTGTTCGATTGCGTATGCGCATGAGGAAGTGTGTTAGTGAGTGTCTATGCTGTCGTTCTGCATGCCGTCATAATCGATGCCGACTCTTCGCCGTGGCCGTCCCGCTCGGCCCTGCAAAGGGTGCCGTGGGACCGGGCTGCCGGCTGGGGGTGTGGCTGACTGTCCCGCCCTGCCGCCTAGCGGAGTCTGCAGCTGGCCGGCTGGCGCGCTCGCGCGACCGGCGGACGACGTATGTTGCTCTGCGGTGGTTGCCACGGTGGCTCGCGGGGCGGCGCCCGCGGCGAGAGGCGACGTTGTCGCGACGCAGGGCGGCGTGCATGTCGTCATATATCATTGTGTGGTTGTTCGAATTAAAAACAAGTAGAAATTTAAACGTTGGATGCTCGAGAATTTATAACATGTGTTCGAGAAAAAACAAACAAACATTGGCATGATTCGAGCACAGAATGGGTGCGGCGCCGACCCCTCACGGCTGCCGATAAGCCTCAGCAGCGACCGTGAAGTCTGGCACTGGTCAGATGGTGTCTGAACACGCCCTTGTTGGCAACGGCTGTAGCTTTCAAACCAGCGCGCCCATTCATACCACATCGCAGGAATTTGGTGTGGTGTGGAAACAGAACGGCGTTATTGGAATTGGGGTTCAAAGAAAAGGTTGTTAAAGACTGATATCAATACGGCAACGTTCCTATGTTTTGCTACGTTTGACATGCTGTTGGTTTGCCGAACAGTCACAGTCTTTTGGGTCTCTGTCTTGTGCGGTATGGAATACGCAATGCTGCTGAAGAAGCAACTTCAGCAGCAGAATTGGATCATTTATCATTCAGCAGTAGCGGCATAACACTACGCCAGGTAGGGATAAGGACAAGGTATTCCAGATTATCTTTCAGAATATATTCAGATTGCGATGTAACAGCAATACTTTCAAACACAACGCGTAAAAAGGCCGCTATGCGACGGCGTCCAAAGCCACGACCATATTGCTGTGGCGTTGACTTTTCACGTGGTCCTTCAGACCGTCCTGTTGGGCGAACGGTTGTATGTCCGACCTCCAAAAACAGCCTATGAAGACGCTGAACAGAACCATCTAGACGATAGCGATGGCGAAGAACCAACGCCACCCTTGCGCGGTGCCCTGCACATAACTCAAAGCTCCGTGTTTACTGCCGGTCATGTCGCCCAGATCATGGTTGCTCCTCTCCCTACTCCTGGGACTAAGCTTCAGTCTTGTTTGCGTGTCCTATAGCACTATTTTTAGCATTGTGCAGTCAATCGATATTCCGGCACGGCCATCGTAGATTGTGCCTGTGTTCTGGCACAGCTATCTTGCACACATTTATCCGAGTTCAATAATTCATGGCTGATTTCTAGGTCACAGATGATATCTTTGGAGACAAAATAGCGGTATAACAGTTATAAGGCATTGTCTTTTCACAAACCCGTTGACTGCAACGCGAGAAACACTCGTAAAAAACAAACTGCCGCGAATACAGTCTTCTTTGCCGACATATTTCTTTGGTAGAGCTGAAGCCAACTGAAGTGGCGCTGTTCAGCACAGAATCCGATCCAATGTCTGCCCCAGCACCATTGCTGTTTTCTGTTCTGTGTACTGTATCCTCCATCTCATATCTGAAACAATATATTGAAGTAAGGACGCCGCATCAAAAATAGCGTCCTGTTAGCCAATTGTATTTCCTCATCAATTCAAACAAAAAGGTATGTCGGGTTTGAAACAAAACAATGCTGGGTCCGTAGCCTTCTGTGGTGGCAGACAACATTACGCTTGGCATACAAGTCTACACCAGACCAACGAATAAGTGGCGTCAAAATCATGTCTAGGTCGCCGATCTAAGTGCCTGGGCTTATATTTGACAGAAAAACACATCATATATAAAAGGGTTAACCTCGTTATCTAACGTTAGCGATCATTCGAGAAAATAATCTTAAGGCTGCGGAAACCAAGTCGCTCTGCTGTAACCTCCATGGCGCCGCCAGTGCGCAAAAATATCAAAGAAGAGTCTTTGTGAGACGGCCATCCTTTATCTACGCCTTTTGTAGGATTCCAGCCAAAAACACTGCATGACTCAAGCCAACATTGAGGGGATGGACGGGGGGGGGGGGGACTCAACATTGGACGACAAGACGCTCACAAAGAAAAAATACAAATTGACACCCGCGATAAAACTAGCACCATTCGCGAGGTCTCGTTAAGACCAATTCACAGCTATTTTACGCTAAGCTTCATCTTTATTTGTTTGGGAACACCTCCCAGGAAAGGGTGTTACGTTTAACCCCTGACAGTCAGCGTTCTAAAAAAAACATGGAATCAGAGAAAGGGGGGGGGGGGCAAAGCACAAACATGCCAGAATTTGCGGCTGCTTCCGAAGCCATAGGCCGCAAATTCACGGATAACCAAACGTTTTACATTATTGTTTCCAGTGCCTTGGACAAAACCTCAGACAGATGTTCAGATGATTTTTCCGTTCAAGTTTCTAACGAACGGAACTCCAAGCCACTTGTCATAAAATGAACTAGACCCCTGAAGTGTACGTTTTTTGCCAACTGCCTTGTTTGCTCGGGCAAGAACGGATGCGTGATTGGCGGGGTCAAGATGGCTTAATTGTCGCGGTCTCAACTGATGGCTTCACCCCGGTACACTTTCTGACGGTGTGAGAGGGTTGGTCTGCCAGCAGCTATAACCATCGCCGCTGATAGCCGGATGCGGCCCTGACGGTCACGCAGCGTCTGCCGGGCACCGCCGGTGAGCGCCACCGTCACCGCCACTCGCACAGTATAAAACAGCCCGCCACCCGTCTGTAGACATCAGTTCACAGATCCCAGCCTGTGTGCGACAGGCGGCCTCACCAACAGCCATGAGGTGTTTTCTGAGCGTTTGTACACTATTGGCGACAGCGGCGTCCTCGCCCACCCCTCAAGGCGACTCGTACGGGGCTCCGCCGCCGCTGGACGCCGTCGATGCAGTGGGTCCGGGTCCGCTCGGCCATCTGGGTGGCCGAGGTCGACACGGCCTTGGCCGGGCTAGCTACGGCAGCCGTCTGGGTGGTCTTCTGGGAAGCCCTCTGGGAGGCCCGCTGGGAGGACGGCGAATCATATTCATCGGGAACCTGGGCAACCCGCCCCAGCTTCGACCGGATGGTCTGCTGGACGGGCCGGGCATGCCCTACAGCTTCAGCTGGGCCGTGGACGAGCCCGACTACGGCAACAACTACGGCCACAGTGAGGAGAGCGACGGCATCGTGACGCAGGGCGAGTACCGCGTGCTGCTGCCCGACAGCCGTACCCAGATCGTCACGTACGTGGTGGAGGGTGACAGCGGCTACCAGGCGCAGGTCACGTACGAGGGCGAATCGGTGTTCCCGCTGCCGGGCGAACCGGGCGGCCCTGCGGCGCCCGGCTCGGCCGGCCGCCTGCCTGGCCCGCTCGTGCCACTGGCTGCCGACGTCCCTGTCACGCCCAGCTCCAGCTACGGCTACTAGCACGTAGCCGCATCTGGAGACTGCAGTCAATGAAGGCATCGCGTGACACCTGGTGCCGAAGTGAGTGGCTCTCTCATGGCCTGAAATACAAGTGATGAGATGCTGTGCTATTCATCTGTGTGTTATGTATGGTAGTAATTCATACCCTGTATGCTCACTGTTCGCATGCGGCTAAATACAAACCAAATGAAGCGCGTATCTTCATAGTTCGAGTTGTAAAACAGGATTTTCCTTGTGGCTGCGAAGCGGGAGCCTAGTGACAACGCCGCGTACCAGGCTAATCACATTCGTCGCGAAGGGTTGAAGCCAGCAACGAATCTTAGTAATATAAATAGCATGATGATTTGGCAATTTATTCTGCAAAGTATGTGAAGTGAATCTTCGCCAAACAATCTGTGAAAAGTACTCATCTGTAGGGCATCGGAAACACACCTCACCACCCTTAACCTGTGACGTCAGCACGGATACCGCATATTTTGTGCTATGATTTTCCACTAGCTAAACCAATTCTATCTAAAAGCAAATAATTTTTCACTGTTTGGAACCATGTTCTGCTATGTTTTAACTTGTATGTTTGGAAACATTTCGGAGCTCAACTTGCTCACACGACAAAACGTCAACATTTCAACACGTGACCTGCATAAGTTCACACTACTAGCGTTAATGAGCGCAGGCCAGTACTAACTGGGACGGTTTGGTGTTTTTGTTCGTATTTGTTCTTATCTTTGTTACCAAATTAGTCCTAAAAGCAGTCATTGTTGTCAACGCTTACATGGGACAAATCAAAAGTATTTTTCACTCCTGGCTCTACAGCTCCATTTCCTATTCCTACCATGTTTTATTCGTTTCGTGTTCTTACATTTCACTTCATATTTGCTGCTTAAATGTCTGCTGTCGGTATCGCCCTTAATCTTGTTCCGAATTTGGGGCATCATCAAGCTATCATTTTCCGTGATTCACCGCGTTCGATTAATGTTCTCTAGGCTAACATTATTTCCTAAATCCCGTTGCTGCTCAAATCCAGGCAATGTTGTCCGCCGTTTCCCCCCTCCATCACAGTCATTTGCCTGTGGATTCCAGATTATAGCGATATCCCAGAAAAAAATCATTGCTGATGTTTCTCCTGATGATAGCGTCAGTGTTCTCCCCCGTAACAGGGCTACTTGCCATTGTCTGATATTTTAACTCAAATCGTCTCTTAGAGCTCTCTTACGATGAAAATGGACGTAATTCTGCATGCCCAATCATATTCCACCAAACTGTTGCATCATTGACTCCGGCACGTACACGATAACCAGAATCAATACAACGCGCGGGAAAACCGGCGCCAGTGGCATGCATTCAACGTCAGTGGAACACTGACTGTGGAAAGCTGCTGAACGTCTTGACAGCTAGGAGCTAAATTTTCTGCCCGTTTATTTCCACGCCGATTTTTTTCCAAAACTACCGGGTTACAATTAGGTCACCAGTGCAGGGCCGACCCTTGACGGGTGTCGATAGGCCTCAGCAGCGACCGCGAAGTCTGCCAGTCGCCAGATGGTGTCTGAACACGCACTTGTTGGTAATGGCTGTAGCTTTCAAACCAACGCGCCCGCTCATACCATACTGCAGAGTCTTCGTGCGGTGTGGAAATAGAACAACGTTATGGAAAGTGGGGTGCAAGAAAAAAGTTGAAGACTGAGATCACTACGGTAACATTCCTATGTTTTGCTACCTTTGGTATGCTGTTGGTGTTCCAAATTGTCACAATCTTTTGGGTCTCTGTCCTGCGCGGTATGGAAAATGCAGTGCTGCTGACGAAGCAATTTCAGCAGCAAAACTGGATAACTTATCATTTAGCAGTAGCGGCATAACACTACGCCAGTTAGGGATAAGAACAAGGTATTCCAGATAATCTTTCAGAATATATTCAGATTGCGATATAGCAGCAATACTTTCAAACACAACGCGCAACAACTCCGCTATGCCATCTCTTCCAAAGCCACGACCGTATTGGCGTGGCGTTGACTTTTCCCGCGGTCCTTCAGGCTGTCCTGTTGGGCGAATGGCTGTATGTCCGACATCCAAAGACAGCCTATGAGGATGGTGGGTAGGACCATCTGGCCGAAAGCTATGGCGAAGAACCAACACCACTCTTGGAGAGTGCCATGCACACAGTTCTGAATTCCGTGTTTACTGCTGTTTCTGTCGCCCAGGTAATGGTTTGTCCCCTCCCTACTCCCGGAAGAAAGCTGCAACCTTGATTGCGAGTCCTATGATATTGTTTTTTGGACTGTGCAGTCAATCTGTATTCCTGTACGACCATCGTACATTTGTGTCTGTATTCCGGCACAGCCATCGTGGACACATTTATCCGAATTCATTTATTCATGGTTGATTTCTAGGTCACATGGAATGTATTTAGAGAAAAAACAGTGACGTGGCAGTTCACAGGCATTGCCTTTCTACAAACCTGTTCGCTGCAACGCGCAAAACGTTCGCAAAAAACCATACTGCCATGAAGACACACAGTCGTTGTTGTCGAAGCCCATCTTTAGTAGAGCTGAGGCCAGCTGAAGTTACGCTGTTCAGCACGGAATCCGATCCGAATCTGCCCCAGCACCATTGCTGTTTTCTGTTCTGTGTAATGTGTATTCCATTCCATAGATGAAGCAATATTTTGACCTAACGATACCGCACCAAAACAGCATCCTGTTACACGATTGTATTTTCTCATGTAGTCATGCACCAACTAATATCAACTAAAAGAATGCTAGGTCCGTAGCCGTCTTTTTGGTGGCAGACAAAGTGATGCGCGGCGTAAAAGTCTCCACGAGACCAGCGAACGAGTGGCGTCAATATCATGTTAAGGTTACGGAAATAAGTGCCTGCGGTTATTTTTGACGACAAAACATGCCCTATGTAAAAGGGTTTATATCCCGCTATCTGGGGTTACCGATCACTCGAGGCCGAAATTTTGGGGCTGCGAAAACCAAGTTGCCCCTCTGTATCCTCCATGGCGACGCCAATAAGCAAAACGATCAAAAGAAGAGTAGTTGTGTGATGGCTATCTTTTACCTACGTTTTTAGTAGAATTCCAGCCAAAAACACTGGGTGATCCAAGCCAACATTGGGGGGGGGGGGGGGTGGGGAGTGGGAGGTGGGGGGGGGGGGGGAGAGGGTAGCAACTTAGCAATGGGCGGCAGGGCACTCACAAAAGAACGTAAATTGATACCCGTGATAAAAGCTATTACCAATCGTAAGATCTCATTGAGACCAATTCGCACGTATTTCTGCAAAGCTTTATATTTTTTGTTTTTAAACACAGGGGTGGGGAGGGAGCTGCATTGATCCCTTGACAGTCAACGTTCTGAAGGAATCGGAGGTGGGGTAAAACACGAATATGCTAAAATTCACGGCTCATTCCAAAGCCATAGTCTCCATATTCGCATCTACCGGAACGTTCCACACCATAAATTTCCACAGCGTTGGATGAAACTCCAGAGAGATGTCCAGATAAGTTTTACAGCATGCTTGTTTGCCACGTTTTTAGCCAAGGTCTTGTAACCGTAGTCCGTGTAGTCACTTAAAGTTTTTGACAAACGGAATTCTAAGCTGATTGTCATAAAATTAACTAAACCGCTGAAGTATACGTTTTTCCCACTGTCTTGCTAGTTCGGGGCAGAACAAACACGTGACCCGCAGGGTCAGAATGGCTCAATTCTCGCGGTCCCAACCGATGGCTTCACCCCGGGACCTTTCCTGACTGTGTGAGAGGATCGGTGCTGCCAGCAGCTCTATCCGTCGCCGCTGATAGCCGGAGGCGCCCTGGCGGTCACGCAGCGCCTGTCGAGCACCGCCAGCGGGCGCCACCGTCACCGCCACTCGCACAGTATAAAACAGCCCGCCACCCGTCTGTAGACATCAGTTCGCAGGTCACAGCCCGTGTGCAACAGGCGGCCTCACCAACAGTTATGAGGTGTTTTCTGAGCATCTGTACACTGCTGGCGACAGCGGCGTCCGCGCCCACCCCCCAAGGCGACTCGTACGGGGCTCCGTCGCCGCTGGACGCCGTTGATGCAGCGGGTCCGGGTCCGCTCGGCCCTCTGGGCGGTCGAGGTCGACTCGGCCTGGGCCGGCCTAGCTACGGTGGCCGTCTGGGTGGTCTTCTTGGAAGCCCTCTGGGAGGTCCGCTGGGAGGACAGCGAGGCGCTTTCATCGGAAACCTGGGCAACCCGCCCCAGCTTCGGCCGGACGGTCTGCTGGACGGGCCGGGCGTGCCCTATAGCTTCAGCTGGACCGTGGACGAGCCCGACTACGGCAACAACTACGGCCACAGTGAGGAGAGCGACGGCATCGTGACGCAGGGCGAGTACCGCGTGCTGCTGCCCGACAGCCGTACCCAGATCGTCACGTACGTGGTGGAGGGTGACAGCGGCTACCAGGCGCAGGTCACGTACGAGGGCGAGGCGGTGTTCCCGCTGCCGGGCGAGCCGGGCGGCCCTGCGGCGCTCGGCGCGGCCGGCCGCCTGCCTGGCCCGCTCGTGCCCGGCCGCCCGCTTGGCGCCAGCCTGACGTACCCGTCTGTGGACACCGTCCATCTGGGCTCCCCGCTGCCGGAGGTGGCTGGCGATGCCCCTGTCACACCTAGCTCCAGCTACGGCTACTAGCACGTAGCCGCACCTGGAGACTGCAGTCAATGAAGGCATCGCGTGATGCGGCTCTGATCAACGAGCGCGTACACCTGATGCCGAAGTCAGTGGCCCTTTCATGGCCTGAAATGTAAGTGATTGGATGCTGTGCTATTTATCCGTGTGTTATGCATGGTAGTAATTCTTGTACGGTATGTTTGCAGTTCGCATGCAGCAAAATAAAACTAAATGAATCGCATATCTTCATATTGCGAGCTGTGACAAGGTTTCTCTTGCAACTGCGAAGCGGGCATCTAGTGGCAACGCCGCATACTAGGGCAATCACGATTGTCTCAAAAGGGCTGGAGCCAGCCACGAATTCTACTACCATTAATAGCCCAGTGATTTGGTGATTTATGCTGCTGAGTATGTGACGTGAATCTTGGCTAAGCAATCTGTTAAAAAGCGATAATGTGTGGGTCATCGGAAACGCACCGTACCACCCTTTATCGGTGACCTCAGCACTGGTATCGTATAGGATGTAGCATGTTTTTTCATCAGCTAAAAACGTTCCTGATAAACCATGTTAATAGCCATGTTTTGCTATGTTTTAGCTTCTATGGTAGAAGGCATTTCGGGTTTCAACTTCCCTACACAACAAACTCAACGTTTCAACGCATGATCTGCATAAATTTACACTGCACGCGTCAATGAGTACAGACTAGTACGAACTGGGACGGTTTGGTGTAATTTGTCTGCGTTTTGATTCTATTTCTTTTACCGAATTAGTCATAATCTGTTCAGTCTTTTCAACGATTATATGAGAGAAACCGGGAGTTTCTTCATCCTTGGCACTGTAGCTGCTTTCATCACTTCAACCACGTCTTATACATTTCCTGGTCTTAAATTTCGCATTGTTTTTGCTGTTCAAATGCTTGCTGTTGATGTTGCCCTTAATCCAACACGGAATTCGGAGCATTGCCAATCTATCATTTGCCGTGATTCACTGCCTTCGATTTATGCTCTCTAGGTCGATCATATTTCTTTACGTCCCGTTGCTGTCCCAATCCAGAATGTTTTATTCATAATGTCCCCCCCCCCCGTTTATCACAGTTTTTCGCCTGTGCATTCAAGATCCTATTGAAATCCCAGGAAATGACAGCACTGATGTTTCGCTTTATGATAGCGTCAGTCTTCTTTCTCGTAACAATTTTTCTTGTCCTGTGCCTGACATCTTAACTTATCTTAAGTCTTCTTTTAGAAGTCTCTTACGATGAAAATGGACGTAACTGTGCACGCCCACTCACATTCGATCAAAGTGCTGCATCATTGACCCCGCCCCCCCCCCCCCCTTCCCCCGTCTTACCAAGTCTTCGGCAGTGTCCCTGGCTGTTCTTTTCTCCATAAACTGTGATGTAGTACGGCGTCGGGGCTATCAAGACACTTCCCACTAGCGCGAGTATAGTAGACTACCTATGGCCGAGCCTGCTGTGGTTGATGCCTCAGAGTTTGCCGTGTCATCGCCGCACAAAGTCGTCAGTGTGCGCCGAAAATGTCACGCGCTGGTCAAACGCCATAACCAGATTCCGGACAACGCGTGGGAATCCTGATGTCAGTGGCATGCCTGAAGTGAATACTGACTGTGGTTAGCTGCCGATTATCTTGATTAGAACTGACGACTATGAGGTAGGTTTTCTTACGTTTATTTTCACGCTGTCCTTGCAAAATTACCATGTTATAAATAATTTTGCTTCGTAAAGCTAACAAGGGAGCCAATGTGCTGTATTTCCCAGCAAGTGTCGTCAGCATATTGCACGGTATCTGTACCGTCTGCATGCAAGACAAGACATGATTCCGGCCGTGACCTTGGCCCGTGACTTGGCTCGCACGCTCCGCCGCACGGTTCTGATCGGCTTCTCTTCGAGTGACGTGAGCGCGATGGTAACGCGTGCCTTAGCCTGGGTCTATGCCGGCTAGAGGCTGCAACAGCATAATGTGGTGATTCGAAGGGATTTCATCACACTCCCATCAGCCGACTGTGGCCCGAGGCGCAAGAAGCCGGTGAATTTTCCAAGTGCTTCAACTGGTGAGTCGCTCGCGGGGTCAAACCATGGCGGAGGATGGAGATAGCGATGTGTTTGTTGACCTTGACGAGGCGACTCATGAGACAAGTCAATCTGACAAGACAGTTAAGACATGCCAAATAAAGACTGACGCCAGCGAGATGAGACAGCGCCAGAATAAGTCGAGAGACTCGCACGGCTCATCCAGTGGGAGTCTGCTCGTCTCTAAATTTGACGAAGTTATAAACCTAATCCGGCAGGAAAATGACACACGTCACGAAGCAGTTCTGACCGAGATAAGGAAATAATTCTCTCTGGCCATAAACAAATATGGAAAGGAAGCTAGAAGCTGTCAAACCCAGACCAGAACAGAATGTAGCGGACCTAGAAGCGCACGTATCCGAACGAGAAGACCTGGTGGAAAAACTCAACGACCAAGTGAACGCCCCAGAGCAAGTCACCAGGAGCATGCAAGCTGAAACATAGCTCAGAGCAATGCAGTGGAAGTCGCCCGAACCCATCTTGTCAGGGGAGCCGGTTCCCCTGGCGCCTCGCCCTGGCTCCGCCACTGACGGCCGCCCCGAGGACCTGAGGCGGGCGGCCTGTGACGTCACGCGGCGCGCGTTCCCACCGGCGGAGGCAGACCCGGGAGAACTGGCGGACGTTCGCCGTGTCGGCTCCAGGGCGCTGCTCTGCGGGTTCGTCCGCACAGGTCCTGGCTCTCTAAGACATTACCTCTATGAGAACAGAATGTTTCCAAACGGTAAGCGGGAGGACAGTGGGCTGTTTATAAGAAAGTCTGACACAGAGTAAATGGGACGTTTTCAACAAACTTTTGGTGCACAAGAAGGAAGGTCGGCTATACTGTGTATTTAGCCGCAACGGGTCCGTGTACTGCAAAATAAGTGCGGTGGCACAAAACAAGTGCGATGGCTCAGAAAGTCCTGATCAGCGACATCGATGAGATCAAAGGTCCTTTTCGTAACAACCATTGATACAAATGTTTTGGAAGATGTGTGAATATTTTCTTCATGCAGGCGACGCTCCGCGTGAGCCGATGACTGTTGATATGTAACTAGCAGGCCAAAATAAATATCTTCGACTTCGTCCTTATTTGAGGAGACTTTTGTGATCAACGTTATCTTTTTCGTGTGCACGTATGTAACTGCACTGAATTGGACGGCATCCAGCTGCATGTAACCATAGTTGTGAACTTGGGTTTAGTTATGAGAAGCATTGTTCTGTTTATCAGTTTGCATATTCTCTTCTGACTCGCCAATTGTGTAGAACCCCTCGGGCCGATGAATCGCTTGTTGCCATCATAGCGAATGTGTGTGGTATTGTACTAGGCAGGGTGTTGGTCTGGCGCCTGGGCTCGCCCGTGCGGCTGGGTACGGCGGACCGCGTGCGCCTGGCGGGCGCACCGCCCCGGCGGTCGCGCACGTGCCGTTGTATGCGTACCTGCGGCCGGAAGTGCTGACTGCCCGGCCGCCGAGCGGCGACGCAGGCTGCCCCGGGTCACCACCCAAGGGAGATCACAGAGGGCGCCCTAGCCGGCAAGGCCGCTCACTCGCCTTTTTAGGCGTTCATAGACTATGCGTGTTTCTGTTTTTCAGGTTGTTGTGCCCGTTATTTGGTACTTGAACAATTCTGGAACTGCTTTCACCTTAAGCCATTTAGCAATTGTTTGTGTCAACCTTACTTGTTAAACATGTTATGTATGTTTGTGTGATATGTTATGCATGCTATGTTGTATTTTGTATGCATGCATGTATGTTATGTTGTATTATGTATGTGCGTGTGTATGTATGTATGTATGTATGTATGTATATTATGTTATGTTTGTATGTTATGTTTGTATGTTTGTTTTGTATGTTGTTATGTATGTTGATGTCATGTGGATACTTGTTATGGTCTGAACTGCCACTAGCATTAACATCCTGTGCCTCGTACAATTTGCCACACACTCAAAGTTTCATTCTCCATGTCACATTTGTCCCATATCCTAATCACGTTGTCGGGTCAACCAGTCCCAGATGCGAACGAAGGGGAACCAGACATGCCATGTGAATGACGCAACCCTTAAAGGGAATGTTTCACATTTGAAGATATTGAGATAGGCGTCAGATATGATGGGACATGTTTCCTTGTAACTGTTGGTGAGCTTTCAAAGTTCAAAAAAGATGCTAAGTAGCAAAATTTCAAAGTTGATAAAAATGAGCCTCATAACGTCATTGTTTCATGGCGTCATGAAATGGGTTTGTGATGACAGCAAAGCCTGGCAGCATCTGGCAGCCAGACCTAAAGAATGCCTCGAAACACACGAAAGCTGACGCCAACCGGCCATTCGCGTCGCGGGGGCCGTGTCGGGGTGCGGGAGGGGGGGGGGGGGGGAGGCGTTGGTGGCTGGGTTATTTGTGGATTTTTTGTCTGGGTGCCGGCCACAAGAAAAGGTTTCGTGAACTGTTTGACATGCGCAACGTAGCGATCGCCAGCTTCTATGGCAGATTATTAATATCAAAGCACGATATGCTGTGCAGCTGCCCTTGCGGCTTTGCTGTTGATTCTGTCAGTACGTTATTAACGACCCATCGTTGCGCGCAGTGCTGTAGTCTTGACATTGATACAATGTCATGTGAACAGTAGTCACTGTCCTTTTTGTTTGTAGCTAGAAATGGGATGTGGTGCCAAAATTGAAAAAAATTGTGATATTTTCTTTATTGCTTGTAACTGGAAGTGTGACGTCATGCGAAATTAATCCATTTCTAACGTTGCAATGCATTGATTGTCAAAGCATTGCTATTGCTATGGTAAAGATAGTAAGGATAGGCTACCAATAATGCTTTTTTTTGCCTACGATTGTTCATGCAATTAATAGTTAACCCTGATATAACCATTGTGGTGCAACGACATTCTCGCCGTAGACAGTCCTTCGACATGGTTAAATACATTTTTACCAGTCATTTATAAATTATA